ATCATTGCCTTTGGGGCTGTTGCAAAACTAAATTTTTTACGCTAAAACTTCATAAATTATTTGAAAATATTAAGAAAATATCGGAGAAGGCGCTATGAAAAATTGTTTCGAAAAACTTCAGGGTTTGTATTAAAAACGTATTTTTAATTAAATACCTGTTAATTTGTTATTAAATAAAACCTGTATGGTAATAGGTATTATTTAACAAATTTTTCAAAAAAAATACGTTCTCAATACAAAACCCGGAGCTTCTTCGAAACATTTTTTCATAGCCTCATCTCCGAAATTTTCTTAATATTTTCAAATAATTTATGTAGTTTTAGAGTAAAAAAATTAATTTTGCAACATTCCCAAAGGCAATGAATAAAAATACTGTTTCTACTTGGCTCCCCCTTTACATTTTGATTAGATATTTTTTCTACAATTAAGGAAAAGCTTCCCTAATATTCACCCATAATTTCACAACAATCCATATAAAAAAAAATATATATTCAGAGCCAAATTGGGTTCCAAATAAATTTGGAACCACAGTCTACATACGGTTTAGACTATATAATTTATTCATACTATAGCGATTGCCTAAATTCGTCCCCGCAGACACAAGCACACAGCCAAGACAGAGAAGACAAATCTAGGTCGAATGGATGGCAAATGCACAATGCATTGACCATTGGTAATTAGTTCATGTGGAGGGTCCTAATTGGGGAACACACCAACGATAATTCGCTGCGAATCGAATATTCACCTTAATATGCATTACGTAATCGCTTGTTTCGCATAAACAAATCGAAAGCTTTATTAATGGAATTGAATTGACGGTGACAAACGACCAAATAACTATTATCGAACCGTTACTTTCCATTCCGTGCTACTTGAAGCTTTATTTTGTTCCAGGTCTTACAATATGTATGTATAAATATTCAAGGTCGAGCATGTGTACAAGATTTTTTTCGAATTCCTAATCGGGTAGATATTTTTAACCTAGACTTTTACTTTTTCGCAACTATAACACTATGTAGTTTGATTCTATTTTTTTCGTAGTTCATCATTGGATTACTTTTTCCCATCGTCAAGAACTGTACATTTCTGTTCATTTGATCACCTGACTGATGTGTATTTCCTGTATTTAATTCCATTGAGAGAAGGAACATCTTATTCCTTAGTGGTCTAGTTTGTGGAGAAGTCTCTCTTATGGAACAGTGCCGAAAGCCTTTTGGAAGTCAGGAAACACTATATCCACTGGGTTACCTTCATCAATTCCTTTGGTCCAGTTATTGACAGAGCTCAACAGATTGGTGGTGTGCAGAAGGAATAAGACATTTCTGAAATCTCCGTCCTTCGGAGAAGATGACGTCATCTGTCAATCAATTCACCTCTCAATCATCTATCACCTTTGAATGATCTGACTTCTTTTGACCAGCTGTCTGCTTCCAAGCACTTCTCAATCACCTGTCACTCGCCATCCGCGTCATCTATCTGTTGCCACAGCTGGAAGAGAACAGGCGTGATGCGCGACTTTCGAAAATTTGTCCAGCGCTAGAAAAATTACCGAGGAAATATTGTCCACTCTACCAAGTCAGATTAGGCATATAACCAGAACGGATAGATGGTGGTGATTGACAAGTACTTGGCAGCAGACAGGTGACTGACAGGTAACTTGATTGACAAATGAAATGATCTGCTCCGGAGGACGGAGGTTGCAGAACTGTCCTATTCCTTCTACTGTGGTAGTTGACCTTTGCGGTAAAATTTTTTTATTTGTAGGATATGGAATTTTTCCAAATGTGCGATCGATACTGCATGTCCGATAACCTAAAAGTACATTGTGACATCGATCACGTCATCACTGTTGGGGCGGCAAATTCGAAAATTTACATATGAAAACGCGAAAAGTAGGGTTTGATGGCAAAATATCGGAAAAAGTTATCTTGTTTCCCATATTGTAGTATAACATTCCCGGGTTCGTTCAGCAAGATTGAACGGTGAATTTTTTAACAAATCTTCTGGAAAACGAAATGAGAAACAAATGAGAACTACGTTGTGAAAACTTACTCAATTTTACTTACTGCGCCCGACATTAGCAAAATCAGGGAAATTTAAGGGAAGTTGTGATATGTAAAATAAACAAAAGAAATTGTGAAACGTCTAATTTATTATTAGAAAATCGTAGCGTTCTCAACCTGGAACTCACAAGGGGAAAGAGCACGGCAGAGAAACCCTCGATCTGACATTCCTCAAAAATCAAAACATAGGTACTGTGTCATTTTTATAAATAATTGTCAGTGAATAATTCAATAAAAGTTTAAATTAGGTGCCATCCCTGTTCTTGTGCTAAAATTTCAATTCCACACACTACATTCAATCAACACCACCTATATTCAATACTGAAGAGTTTTTGGTTAGTTAGCCAGTTTCACCAGCAGGTACTGAGGTCCCGTACGGGAGGCTACTCAGCTATTGTTGTTATTTTGAGCCAATATCTCTAGATTGATCTTTCAATTTGTTTGCCAGGATATTCGCTCGTCAGGGTAGGAAAATGTTAGTAGATTCAACAAGGCCTTAATGCACGCTCTGATACCAAAAATCAAAACCCCAGCACAAAAGACAGCACATAATTTCTTTGGTTTTAATTTACTTTTATCTGCGTTGTTCAAAGCATGAAACGATTTTTGTTAAATACATGAACACTGAACAGGCGTCTTGCCAGAAAATTCAGATGGGGGGCACTGATCTCAAAAATAAATGGATAAATAAAGAACGCTTCTAATGCTGCTAATTTACGAGGTCATAATGTAAACAAAAACAACTGACTGGGACAGCCGTGAGCGTGCGCTGTGGATACATGTACTGTGCGTGCACAAAATCTGGCCAATAAAAATGAAAGAATTTCAAAATTTAGAACAGTTGTTCGAAAGATAAGACACTGCGCAGGCTGTTCCGTTGCACAACTGTTCGTAGAATATTGACCCCAAATTTTCGCACAAGTTTAGCCAATCGAGCCGTACGATTGTTCATCCATTTATTTTTTAGATCAGTGATGGGGAGGGGTTATCGCTATTGAAATTATGAAACATTGCATGTCCATAGGGGTGTCGCAGGCGGAAATTTTGCAGAATTTCAAGGTCAAATGCTTTATGTGAAAAGAATACAATTTTGAGGGTGAAAAAGTATATGCTAAAAAATGGGTTTCGTAAGGTGAATTTCTAGAATTTTCAGTAATGTCCCAATAGATATGTCCTTCGTGACTTCATATTTTGGATAGGAAAATTCGTTGTAAATGAGTCAATTTGGGGGACGGACGGAGCCTTCGCCCCCTTTGGAAACGCTACTGGTAAAATCAACATATTTACTAAATAAATAAAAGTCAAAATCTGACAAAATAAAAAATATACTTAGGACCGGTTGATTCACCTTCTAATAACCTCTCAGGTATACAATCTGACGGATAAAAACGCAGTCTCTAATCCCATTGGGCGGCCAGGTATCCGCCGACCAATAGAATTAAACAACGGTGAATTTATCTTGCAGATAGTTACCAGCAAGATAAATTTGAATTTGCAAATCTGAAGATGAATAAACCGGGCCTTAACAATTAAAAATAAAATCTTGTAACAAGCACTTTTAAGCAATTTAAAAGCTGTACCAAAACATAATGGAAAGAAGAAACAAATTCGTATTCTTTTTTATAGGATAATTTTTATTTTCTAATAATTTCCAAAAGTGGTTTTTAATTATACTTTCTGATCAAGTGGGAAGGGTTTTAACCCTGAAACCCCCCCCCCCCCCGTTGCTAAGCCCCTGTGAACGATGCACATGTTATATAAAATATTATAAACAAACTAAATTAAATTGAACTCTCAAAAACAAATAACATTTATTCAACTAACCTGTGAATGCTCCTTATGACACACAAACTAATCATAAATTGGATTGAACAATCAGTTTAATACAAAATAAAAATTGAATAATGAACAATGGCGGCCAACCTTCTTCTTGGTCTCTGATTTTTTCTCTACCTACCCTTCGGTACCCTTTTTGTATGGCGCGTCCCGTTCCCATAAATTTCACAGCGTATACATGGTTGCAATATTCTCTTTTCTCTAGTTAACGTTTTATTGAAAAAAATTAAGATTTGAAGAAATAATATTTCAAATAGGTGGTTTTTCTCAATATGTAGCTAACATTATGGGGGACACTGTAAAGAATGAAAGTATTTATCATTTTTTTTCTAGGATGTTCTCTTTGATCATATATTTCAATTTGTTGTTCTGTATCCTGTATGCAGTATAGTTTTGGTCTGATTTTTGTTTTGCATATTTTTCCCATAATTTCCTCTTGGGAGTCGATTCTTTTGAAAATGTGTGCATTCAGCCAAGGTTTTTGAACGTTGGTCCGGTAAATTTTTTCAGGAATCAATTTATCCATTGTAACATTAGGCTTTCGAATTCTTCGTACTTCTCGACATTTGGTTTTGTATTTACTGGTAAGTTTTGATTATATTCGTTTTAATTTAAAGAACTCTCAGCCTATATCGGGGTGTTTAAAATCGCCGCTCACGACCACTTCGCCGTTGTCTTCGAAAACCTTTTGTAGCAGTTTGTGAAGAACTGAATTTTATTCATGAGTGATTCTTCGAGGTCTATAGCAATTCCATTGGCATAGAAAGTTTTGATCTGATACTTCTACATCTAAGAACAGAGCGTCCACAGTTCCAATAAAGTTCTATTTTGTGTTAAAACTGGTCTTAATTTTGAATCTGTTCGTTTCGAATGCTGCATAGCACACCTCCACCATCTTGTGAACTTCTATCAGCTCTAAACTTTCGATTTTGTTGTTTTACAGAAAATTGCAACCAGAAGACTATAGAAAAATCACTATTTAGTTGTTTCAGTAGTAGCATTAGCAATCCACTTGATACTCGTACATACAGGTTTAATCAAACAATTCTAATACAGTGCAAAATACCAAAAACATTATTTTAACAAATTATTTTATTTCAGAGCCTGACACTGAAATTGTGGGAGGACCGGAGCTATTCATCGATCGCGGGAGTACTATCAATCTGACCTGTGTAGTACGCCATAGCCCAGAACCACCTGCTTACATATTTTGGAATCATAATGATGGGGTAAGATCAAGTCACATGTTATAATAAGATTTGAGAATAATGTATCAATATCATTTTTCAAAAACTATTTTGAACCTTGTTGTATATTATCGTTGTTTTTTATATTACAATAACTCAAGTGTTGGCAGTGGAAAAAGTTGTTACTTGAAAATATCTTTATCCCTCCCTACACCCTCAAAATTACAACCATTAAAAATATCCTATGTAATAATATTTTAATTCCGTATTTCGCATCGCATTGGTTAGGTTTATATCAAACTATTTTAAATAATCGCACGAGCACGAACATTATCAAAACCTTTATCCTAAGTATTGGTTAGCCACAGGCCAACTGTGATCCCCAAGTCCGGGATGAGAAATTGATACGTTTGCCGAAAACTATTTCCAACTCCGACTACCCTCATTCTAAAGGAAGAACTTAGGGTTGCCTAGCCATTTTGAACTTTTAACCAAAATGATTTGTGGTTCGAATTTATTACTTTTAGTGTTTACGCAATTGAAATGAAATTCTTAACATGAACCTGAAAAAAATCATTGGCATTTGAACCTTGTGTAGCTTCAAAATATAGGTAATGCCTCACATACTTGAGGAAACAGCTATTTACATTAAATAATTAACTTTTGGATTCTTGTGGTTAATTTTCGCTTAGAAATCAGCAAAGTATTTGAAAAACAAAATTCTAAATGCAAAGTCAATAGGATTATTGAATGAACTAACGAGAATCACGTAGTTGTGTTGTACATTTAAGAGAACATGTAACAAAGGTAGTTTTTTGCTTAAACTTCTCGTCCGCGGTAGGTACCTATACATTTTTTTCCGGTAATTTTTTTATAAAACCAATTCTTCTAGTCAAAATAAATTTGAACATGAAAAGTGATTGATGAATGTTTTTGCCGTCCAGATGTTAACAAGATAATAGTTATTTATGGATGACTGGATCGAAGGAAAAATAAAAGACCCTTTCTCAAATACGCGACGTTTGGAAAGATGTATTGTCTTCTTCGGGGCCCTCGAAAATTAAAGCATGAATGCGCAGATAGTTGAGAAGAGTATATAGAATTTTTAAAAGGGTTGCAAGAATGCAGAGATTGAATTAGCTTTAATTATAAATTGAAAAACAAAATATGGTTTTATCCCATAAATTCTTTTCTGCCTCCCGATCAAAAAGATTTCGTGAAACAAGAAAGTTTTTTATTGCATGACTGGGGTCTGGCGGATAATTCGAAATCAATAATTGAAATCGATAATGGAAATAATGGTAGGTACCTACTCTATCAAATGTTCAATTTTCAAAAATAAAGAAGAGCATTTTCTGAAACCTTTCAGTTTCAAAAAGTCATCGTACGCTGCAGTGACAGGCTGAATATATTATTTTAAAATATCAAATTAATTTGTGCGCAATAATTTATTTAAACAATACACTAAAAACTGTTTGGTTGGAAATGTTGTTGTACGAATTTCAGATTCAATTTCTTCCCACAGTTTCTAGATAGGGTTTAGATACATACGGTGATTGTGCCGGCCAGTGCAGAACTCGGACATTGTTCTCCTGAACCACCCCTGCACAAGACGAGAGATGTGCTTGGGGTCATTTTCTTGTTAAAATACAAATCGCAAAGGCATCTCCCACTCAGCATAAAGTTGGAACCTCGGATTAACTGGACGCATTACATGCCTCATTCCATCGAAATTTAAAAAATTTCAAAGAGTTTCGTCGCTAAATCATATTTTTTCCCAGTTTTGAACTGTCCAATTTAGATGAAGATGTGCAAATTCGAGCCTGGCACGGCGATTTCTTTCGGCTGGACGTCTGTTGTGAAGCTTTGCTTCAGCTAATCTTCGTTGGCTCGCACTTACTTTTAGTTCAGGAATTGCAACAATTATTCTTGGTCCTGACAATCACGGATCCCTTTGGCAAACTCTTTTGATTCTCCTATCCATCCAATATGTTTCAATGTCCACGTTCATTGAAACGTGAACACTGAGGTGTCAGAATAGCAGAGAAATACAAAATCATTTCAAGGCATCTGAAAGTAATTTACCATAGAAGAACTTTCTATGTTAAATGGACGGAACCATGAAAAAAGATGATTTCGCCATGGACAATAATTATCTCAAGTCAGGAACCTTCATGACAATACTAAGCTCAAAAATGGGTGTGTAATTCAATCTATCAAACTTATTACCTGCATCTGAAACAGATTTATGTAGGACGAGCACCACAGATACAGCATCAGACAAATTACGATTATATAATATACCTATATTGGGTAGTATGAATAAAAATTTAGTAAAAGCTTTATCTTGCATTTCCTAAGCAAATACTTACTTTGCAGTGAATAAAAATGAGTATTAGCTTTAACTAAAACTTCAATTAGTAAAAGCTACAGTTTTTAGCATTGTCTTTAAATGGTGTGAATAAAAGTAAGCAATTCCTAATTATATGAAGGAAAAGCTTACATTTTTGCAAGCCTGGTAAACCTTGGCTTAAACATTTTAGTGGTGCCTAAATGTTTGGCAGAAATGGCTGTGTTTATGAATATAAGGTCTGCGAAATTTTCTCCCGAAAGAAAAGAAAGTCGTGCCGAAGAATGCCACAGTCTGTCAATTTGAGGTTGGCTTAAAATTTCTCATGAACCTCCTCCTCCAACAAATCACTTATAGAATTGTCTGAATCACTATTCATTTTCACCTTGAAGCGCTGGCGTTTGATACGGCTACTTGTTTAAAAGGGATACGTTCACCATCACTCAACTGTTGCCACCAGTTGAGTAGTTGGGAAAACAATGGGTACGTTCACCAGTACGCAGCAGCTAACTTGCAGTGTAAAGCAGTTGAGGACAGTTGAGATACAGCGGATGTAAATTTCCTGAACGCATATAGTTGAGAGTTATGACAAATGACAATTCAATAAGTTGAGTTGGTAAGCGTAAATTTTTACCACTTAGAGAAATCGGCAGCAGCTGACAAAAAGCGGTTTTTACTGACCGCCGCTGAACGCGATCGTTTTAACTAGGTACTAAACTGTTGCAACAGTTGAGTGCTGGTGATCGTACCTCGTACCCAATCGCCTTCAGCGGCGCTCAGCAAAAGCCGCTTTTTGTCAGCTGCTGCCGATTTCTCTAAGCGGTAAAAATTAACGCTTACTAACTCAACTTACGGTTTAGACATGCGCAGAAGTGTCGGGCGTTCAGGGAATTTACATCCGCTGTATGTCAACTGTACTGGTGAAAGTACCTTATTATTAACTTCAGTCAATGTTTTTACACCGCCGGTCATAGCTTTGTTCCAACACATTCAGAAGCCGTACGATTCTGCGCAAAGCCGAAAATTTGTGCGTAGAACCCGAAACTCGTATTCAGAGTGATTTCTAGACCGTTCATGGGGCAGTTTTTGAAGTGTTGGAACCAACCTCATACCATTTCCGTTTATAAAAATATTAATATCGTCGTTATCAGTATAAAAACTCGCAAACATACACTTTTTGAGAATGCTGTAGACACTTCACGAATATCCATATTTTCCAGAGACATGAGTATGAAATGGACTGCGTGTTCCGTATAGTTGCCGTACGCGGCAGTGATGGAAAGATGGTTAGGCAACCAGTCTTTCGCATTGTGGGCAAGAAGCTACACAAGCGCATTACCCACAACGAGAAATAACACATAATTTCATTTATAGGTGACATATAATTAGTTATCCATAGTGTATCATTAAAAACTAAATACCAGACGTGCTTAAATATATGTCTTTTGTGCAGACCTGTGAGGCAAAAAAATAAAACAACACTTAAACGTTAGATAAAAAAACTTGTTATTCCTAAACAATTCTTGGGCAAATTCAAAGGCACAAAATACTAGATTGTAAGGTACAAATACTTATATGTAAACTTAAATTTAGGATTTAGATGCAAAACTGATTTTAATTCTACTGGTTCTTGAAAATTACAAGTTTTTTATACATTTGCCTAACTCTATCAGTGATTCTACTTGCTTCCTTATTCTGATAATGGATTCTAACGAGAAAATAAACACGTAAAATTGCGTTGATCAGCTGAAGTAAATGATTATTAGTAGGATCTTGGTCCAATATATGATCACCAAGCTCCTTAAAATAATTGTGAATGTTCATGTCACTCATGGTCCATATTATAATTTTTTTGAGTGTAGTGTTGGGAGTGTAATGAGTACGAACATTTTTTTCGGCTAAACTGCACAGTTTTATTACATCTTCTTATGCCTTACATAATCCCCCAAGATCTTTTCTATTTAGTAAAAGTGATGACGACTCATCAGAAAACAAAAAATTACAACAAATTGCGTATCTAACACTAACGTATAACAAGTGCGCGCGGATTTCTGCCCCTAATGTGCAGTTAGGGTTGCCTACCATGTTTACATCACTGTTCGTGCCGTACGCCCAGTCCATTTCATACCACTGACCTGCTATTAGCAAAAGCTAAGTCTACCTAGTAAAAGCTGAAGCTATCACTTAATACTAAAAGTGGAAGCTTAGTTTTTATTCACACTGCCCATTGTCGAGAACACTAACCCACCCCTAGTATATCCCAAAACAATGTAAACAAATACTAAAAAGAGTAGAGTAGTAAGTATCCAACGCAATTATGTAGATTTTAGCTTCGAGTACATAAATGGCGTTTAACATAAATGATGTATTCGAAAATAACAGCTTCTCCTTTACTATTTATGACAGACAGACTATTCAGGGGAAACTCCTTTATAGTAGAATTTTACAAACAGTCACGTCCAATTCCAATACACTGTCAAATTCCAAATAGGTTCTTTGAACATCTTTGCACTTTTTCAAAATTACCATAAACTAAAATGTTTTCGATTGTGTCGGCGAGGATTTCAAAGATTCCGTTTGCTCGCATTGAGTGATTGCTGAGGACCCTCTTCTATGTTTTATGTTAATTCGCCCTTTCAATTTGTATTTCACCAATGTCTTTCTTGTAAATTACGGTCGAGTCCATTAGGCT